GCTGCAGGTGGCCTGCCAGTGGCCAGTGGCCTGCTCGGAGCAACGTGAGGTTGAGTGACCCCCTCCAGGCTATCTGAGGTCCCGCAAGTAACATACGTCTGTAAAGAGACCACATGTTACGGCCAAAGATTTTTTCTGTAGTGCCAACAGAAAAAAAAATTAAAATATATATATATAAATTTATAAATATAAGGTAATGAAAAAAAAAATAACGTAAATCAAATTTTATTTTATATTGAGTTATTGGTATCAATAGATCTAGAATAAAAAGCAAACTTCTTCAAAAGAGGTAGAAAAAATAAATTTAATAGCTTTTTTTCCCATTTCATTTTATGGAATAAGTCAGCTTATCATTCTGATTCCATAATGCTAATAATTAACATTAAAAAAAGAGTGATTTACTCAGGAATTAGAATTAGAATGACTGTAGATGCCTCCTTTTTATGTCTCTAATCTGACATTACAAACTGACCTTGAAACTCCTTTCATCACAGCAACTGACACAGATAGTGTTAATAATTTTCATGACAGGCTAACTCTAAATTCAAATTCATTAGCTACTGCCTCAAATTCATATGACTCGCCCAAATGATTTCTGAGGTGCTGGCCAAAATACTTGCTGCCTTAAGCTATTTGATGCCATATTTTACTTTTGTGAAATAATTTAGTCCAAATAACTCGTAAATGATTAGATAAATACCGAAATGTATCCCCTATTCTTGTAAAACTGAATTAATCAAACCGAAAGCTGTAGAAGCGCTGGAATTTGACCAATCAACACACGGGTCGCGAAATAGACCCTAATAGTTTTGTTTTTTTAAATGGAAAATGAGATAAATAAAGATTGCAATGTAAAAAAAAAAGCATCACACACCTTCACTTTCCCCTCTACTTTAAATAGAATTTTTTTCTGGCAATGTAGGGCTATTAATAAGTTTTTGCAGTGCATTTTTAACGGAGCTAAACCTTAAGACTTCCACCTAACCTCTAACAACTCATTTAGGCCATTAAAACAACAAAATTCCTATTTATCATATCGATGGTAGGCAAAAAACCTCGTAACTACGTCTGTTTCCATAAACAATATAACTCCAGTATCTAAGCAATATATGACTAGATAGATTTCAAATTACATCTGTATATTTAATCTATAAATGATTATGGATTGTACTACTATCAGTTCTTAAACTCTTATTTTTACATTGTATAATAACCAAAAATGAAGTTAATAAAATGGAGTTACGAGATTTTCATTGCCTACTATCGATAGGTCAAAAGTTGTCACACTAATTGTAAATGGATAATGTTGTGATAATAATGTAGATAAGATACCCAATTATTTAAATATATAATATCGAATCTAAGTGTTAGTTTTATTAATATATATTAATATTTCACTTCTTTCACACAAATACAATGACATAGTGTACTTAACAATATTTACCTTGATAATTTTTAAAATCGATGATATAAAGAGACACTTTCGGTTATTCGATTTTTAATAAAAATTGCCGTAACATCCCATGCATATACCTACCTTAAATATTTAATATCAGTTTCGTACGAATTTTTGTTTCTGAGCTAGTATGATCACACACACACACAGACCACTTTATGGGACATCGTTATTTGGACTAAGGAGACCTCAAAACGTGTATTTCTGTGAAAACACATATTTGAAAATTTTCAGGATACCTTACTATAAATTACATATATAGGTAAGTGAAAGTAAAAACCCAATGATTTTTTTAGTGGTGTGAAAATAAGTTTATTTAACTTATTAATAAGTTATTCTAAACTAATATTTATCAAAGAATGTAATGGAACGTATATTTCTAAAGTGTTATTTAAATAATTGTAGTCGAAAGCTTATTTAACCATTTTATTCAAATGAAAATGATTTTATTTCACCTTCATTGTGAACAAAAAGTTAGTTTTTAAAGGAAAAATGTTAATTTTCACAACTGCTCTCCCCTCCGCATCATATACAATTATCTCATTCCAAAATAAAATTTTTTTATTGTTCAAAACCCGGCCTTTTAAGTTTAATAATTTCCAAAAAGGACCCTACTTAGTTTCAGTGTATGCTACGAATAAAGAATTTCTTAATTTATTTTTGAAAATATAATTGTTTTGATATTACCACTGCAATATAAAAAAAATGGTGCGCGCAGCACACAACTTTCACTTACCCCTCCCTCTACTTTAAATAGAAATTATTTTCTGGCAATGTTGGGCTATTATAAAATTATAAAAGTCCTTTTTAAACGGGACTTTTATAATTAGGTTAAAGCTTTTAGCCAATAGGGACTTTTAGCCAATAGGTTAAAGCTTAAAGCTTACAGATAACAAATCATTAAGACCATTAAAATTACAAAAAGTCTATTTATTATATCGACGGTAGGTAATAAAAAATCTAGTCACTTTGTCCATTTATAAAAAACACAACTTCGGTCTTTGAACCTTTCAGTTGCATTCTCTTAACTAATTCCAATTTCAACATTTTTGAATAATGTCATTTTAGTGATATTTCAAGTTGGAAAAGTTATATCTATACAGGCAGTGAGTAAGTTGATTACGGAGTATGTGAAATTTCGCAACTAGAAAAATCACTAAAATTAATAATAAAGAATGTTGAAATTGGAGTTACTCATTCTGTCATCCGAAAAACTAATAATGCATAGAGAGATTTGAAATTACATCTGGATATTTAACCTTTAAATGATTATGGATTGTAGGACTATTAGTTATTAAACTGTTGTTTTCCACTGTAACGTTTACTAAAATGAAATTTCATTGCTTACCATGGGTAAATCAAAAGTTGCCACACTGATTGTAAGTGGATAATGTTGGGATTTCACAAAGGGAAAATTCATCAAATGATTTACTAATTTAATTTTCTAAAAGGTTACTTCATGATTTTATGGAACGAACGGCCAATCTAGAGTTATTAAACTACAGCCAATGTATTTAAGGTTATAATCATATCCATGAAATATTTCACTTCTTTCGCAGAAGTACAATGAAATAGTATTTAAAACATGTCATTGCCTTGTTTCGATGGATTTTAAATGTGTTTTTAAACTTAGAAAAAAATTTAAAAATTTACATTTAATACGAAAATTTCACTTAATTCCATTGGAAACATGTGATTCACATTAAATAATGTTAGTTTTCTGAAATTATTATTTATATTTTTTTCGTCACTATCCGTTACCTTTATTTGATATTATATTTCTAAAAGTCTCCGCTTTCTAACGATATATTATGCCTATACCTTCTGACTGTCATTTCCGGAGATTCATTTTCAACCTGGATAGGCATTTTACTTTTTTTCTCTCCAGTTTCCAATTATCATTTTATCAAACTTCATATTTAGCAGTTTCTTATAGTTACTGTCAATAAAAGAGAGTTAATGTTTTTAAATAATCGATATTAAAGGTAGTTTAGAGGAAGACGTTTATGCTCATTTGGCACTCAAGCCCTGTAAAGTGATATCAATGAGGTTAAGGCCTAAATGATATTAAAAACCACTTAATTATACAATGAAACACCGAGTTTAATCAAAATCGTTAGAGCCGTTTTTGAGAAAATAGTAAAAATGAGTTTCACCGTTGATATAAAATGGCACTTCCGGTTAGACGATAATAAAGGAAAAGTTGCTGTCACGTCTGAACCATATACAAACCTTAAATATATGATATCAGGTTCGTACTACTTTTCATTTTTGAGCTAGACTGTCAAAACACAGCCCATTTTGCAAGACTTGGTTATTTAGACTCAGGGGCCTCAAAACATGCATTTCCATTAAAAACTGAGATTTTTTTTTTTTCTAATTTTTTTTATATATACATTACATCTTGTTATAATGATAAATTACATGTTTGTGGTTGCAGTAACCTTATACATGACATACTAGTGGTATGAATGCTGTTTAGAAAATTGAAATCCATTTTTTACAGTAGGAAAAACCTCATAAAACACCTACATAAGATATAAATGAAAACTAGATTACAATCCTTAAAATTACAAGAAAAACAAAATATAATTTATATACATAAGAAAAAATTATATATATATACACACACATCCTATAAATATAAATATACACACACGTCCTATAAATATAATTTTTTAATTGGAGTGATAGAGTATATTGTTATTTGTTTGTTAATAGAGAAGAATCCGTTAAATTTTCGTAAATTAACAGATTGATTTAGACGTTTAGTAATATGTTTTTAGTCCGTCTGTATGTACACCGTTTCAAAAATGTCTTGTCATAGTTTCCTATTGTTCGGATCATAGCGTTTTCAGACATTGGTGTTAGCTCAAAAAATCTCTGAGTTTTAAAATAAATATATTGTTTTATACTGGGAAGCTGTAATTCTGATGGCATAGTAGATATTTTGGCATAACGTGGACAATTGTTTATTATTCTCATGCACATATCTTGAAATACTTCAAGTTTTTTGTAATTAGTCTCGCATGTGTAACTCCATACTGGGGCAAAAAACTGATATTAGAAAATATTCACGATCGCAAACTTCCCTTTACTATACATTACATATATATAGGTAAGTGAAAGGAATATAGCTTTTCGTGTTTTCTGGAAAATTATCAATGATGATAAGGGGTCACTTTGGAAATAAACGACTCATTTATCGTTCTCTGTGCTAGAATGAGAGGCGAGAATGATAATTTTTTTTTTTAAATGTGTTCCGAAAATCTTCTATAAAAACTAGTCGGAATCTAGATATAAAGACGTACTGAAAGATTTACAAGGTGTTGGAGTAGTTTTCTCATCCTATCAACTTTAAAATAATCTGTACTTCATCTGGTACAACTTAAAAACAATCTGACAGAAACGAGGCTGGGATAGTTAACACGACCATTACGCAATGCGGATAGCCAGAAGATACAAGAATTAACAAACTTAACAGCGACAACAATAATAAGGGAATGTGCAACGGAGTTGAGGGGAAGGGACGTGAGCGGCCCGCCCGCTATATATACCCACGGCCCCCCGGTCCAAGCACAGTCCACCACCAGCGGCCACAGCAGCACCAGCCATGGAATACAAGGTAACACCACCGTGTGTATATATATGTGTATATGTATATATATATATTGTAGGGGGAGCGGCGGCAATACTGTTGTCTAAACATGTCCCAAAGTTATCACAACAAATACTCAACATTAAATATTGATAAAAAAAAGTTGTTCATGATCATCCACACAATAATTTCTAACAATTAGAAAAGTATGAAAATTAGACAAAAATACAAATTAACAGTTTAAGAAATTCTGAGTGTAACAATAATACTAACGGTTGGTTTCAACCCTAAACGCAAACCTACATAACGTATTTTTTAACAGGTTCAAAATAAGTATCATAATTCTGATCTACCAATGCTTTATCTTCAACATAAAATCAGACAAGAGCTTATGAACGGGTAAATACACGTAGAAACTTGTTTCCTGATGTTTAGTGACTGCTTCGAGACAGAAAGCAACTATTACCACAGTTATAGTTTATCATTATCATAAAATTATCATAAAACTTCTGTAAAAAATTAATGTACCAATAATCTAATTCAGCATAGGAAGCAGTATCAATAAAATAAAAAAATTTATTTCTTCTGTTTTTCTTTCTCTCTTTTTTTTTTAATAATTGGATGTTGCAAGACGATTACGATTTATAATGTTTATTGGAAACGTTTGTCTAAATCTAGAAGAGACAATCACAGAATATATAACAGGGTATTTCTTATTTTTTTTCTTGTTTCACATTTTACACTCAACTTTTGGACCTTTCTTTTATTATTATTACCGGAACTTTATTACCCTTTATTTAAAAAATATATCTCGCCGAGAACGTCAATTTTGTATACTTCCAACCTGAACGTATTGATAAGCGTTTCTAAAATTTGAAAGTTAACTTAATAAAAAAAAAATTTCCGAGTAGATAAATATTAATTTGACTCTATGAAATGTATTTAGAAGAGTATTTTTTACGAGAAGATCCTAAAAGTACCTAAAATTTGTTTTCAAACTTTCTCAGAATACCTCGAAGAGAATGAGTTGAATGGTCAAAACTCCTTCAAGCTAACCGCATTACTAAAATGCTATGCGGGTTTCCGATTTGCTATGCTTGCGCCGGTTTGTATTTGGCTTTGTATTTAATATCAGTTTGCAATTTTAATAACATGATTAACATACATTTCATTCCAATGTTAAGTGTTGGGATATAAAAGACCTGAATAATAGAGGTCAGGTTTCTGCTATTAATAGTTATAACGATCCAAAAACAGAATAATAATTGCAGTTTATCGTAAAATTAACACTGCATAAAGCCTGAACATTTTATAGGCTACTCCAGTTCTCAGTTCCATTAAAACACCATTCATTATCTCCTTCGGCAGCTAATTAAATTAACACTAATTTAACGATTCAAACTTTTCAAATGAAAATTACCTTACGAAAAAAAAATCGAAAATATAATCTTTGAACAAATTAACATGCTCTAAATTTTTTAAAATTAATATCTAAATTAACATAGGACATTAATTTTTGAAATGACTACGGTATAAAAATTAATATAACATTTCATTAAATGTTAATTTAAACAATTTGTCACAACAATTTAAATTAGAGATTGATAATTAAGGCTGAACCTTTCTAAGCTCACATAATGTTTTAAGAGATCGGAATTGATTTTTAATTATTAACTAATTATATACCAAACTTGATTTTCAGTACAAAACTAACATTCTTTGATATATATTGAATCTTTGATATACGAGCCTTTCAGTTAACAGAATGAGTAACTCTAAATTCAACATATTTAGTAATTAATTTTAATGATATTTCTAGTTGGAAAATTTATATCTTTATTCACAGTTCAACACTGCATCAATTTACTCACTGACTGTATAGATATTAATTTTCCACCACGAAATATCAATAAAATGGCTTTACTAAAAAATGTTGAAAATGGAGTTAGTCATTCAAACCATTATTCAGATAAATTCGTTAAAGTCTTTGAATATAAAGGTTTTTGACACATCCTCAATTAAAATGAAACAATTCTTCACGTATAGAGTTTCGAAACGCAAGGACTAGCCTATCTACTTATTTAATTAAACTTTAAAATTTAATTAGGACATTGCTCAAACAGAAGGATATTCATTTCATTGAATATAGTTACGGCACTAATTAAATGTAAATTCTGATGGGAAAATTCCCAGCCGCATTAAAACAAACACTTCGCGCGAACCCCAGAGTACTGTGTGCAATAACGCATTTTGAAGATAGCTGTCATAACATGCATGGTTCTACGCAGGTGTAATTATTGTTAATTATTGTGTAATTATTAATTATTGTGCAATTATTGTTTAATTATTATTATAGTTCTACGCGGGTGTATAATTGTACATATAAGTATATTTTGATTAAAGCAACAGATTGCGTCGAAATTGTCTGGAGATGCTACAAACGTCTCATTAATAAGACGATTCAGCATATTTTTTTTTCTTATAGTAAAAATATACTTCTAAATTAATTTGAAACATTTTACTAGACAATGTTATTTCGCAACAGATTATAAAACGTATACATATATAATTGGTATATTATATTTAAAATGATTAAATTTTTGAAGAAATAAATTCAAGATTTTGTTGAGTTGTATGAACTTTGTAAAAACTGTAATTTAAATAATGATACATGGTTTTGTTTTTATTTAGGTTTTGGGAGTCCTTTTCTTGGTCACAGCCATTCTGGCAGCCGATGAGAAAGAAGAAAAGAAGGCTGACGATGATAAGAAACAAGACAAGCGAGGTCTTCTCGGCTTGGGCTACGGCTATGGTGGACACGGGCTAGATTTAGGATATGGTGGACACGGCCTTGATGGATTCGGAGGATTGGGAGGTTACGGATATGGAGGATATGGAGGATACGGTCATGGTGGACACTACAGCATCGGTCATGGTCACATCAAAGCCATCACCATCCACAAGGAAATACCAGTCGCAGTACCACAGCCCTACCCCGTCCACGTCGAGAAGCAAGTCCCAGTGCCATACCCAGTCAAGGTCGAAGTTCCTGTCGACAGGCCATACCCAGTCCATGTACCCAAGCCATACCCAGTCGCCGTCGACAGGCCAGTACCTTACCCAGTCGAGAAGCCAGTCCCATACCCAGTCAAGGTTCCAGTCAAGGTACCAGTCGCTGCTCCCTACCCAGTACCAGTCCCAAAACCATACCCAGTCCATGTTGAAAAGCACATCCCTGTCGCAGTACCTCACCCAGTTATAGTACACAAGCCAGTTCCAGTGCTCGTTAAGAGCCACCACGGATGGGACGGTCATTACGGTGGTCACGGAAGCTACGGCGGAATCGGATCCCTTGGTCACTACGGCTACCACTAAATCAAACCTCAAATCAAAATATTTAATTGTAATTTTATATTTAAATAAACTTTATATATAATTTTTATACAAAAACATTTTTTTTACTATGCTTAGTAAATAAGAAACGCCATTTAAGTACAAATCACTTCAAGTTACCATCATGACTTTACCTACCCAACACAGCCAAATTTATTTGTAAATGTACAAATGTAAAAAAATAAAATAATTTTGTACATAACAATGTTGAATTATTTAACAATAAACCTAATTACCATAAATTACTTATAAGTTATTGAGGAAATATTCCATTAAGTCGTCACAATGAAATAGTACATTACACTATAACATTATAAATTTTGGAAATAGATCACTAAACCTTTAGGTTAACGTGAAGATTTCTTATTTTATCACAAACATTCAGCTGGTGAGAATGTTAAATTATGAAATCAAATATGGTTATTATTAGCAATTTAAGAATATCGGGCCTAAATAGATATTAGCTAAGAGGCCTAGTAAATTTAACTCTATCCATTCTGTAAATGTTTAAACATTATCAAATTCTAGTAACGATTTTTCAGCATTATATCAGATTTCCTTAAACAATGATATTAAAAACCAAAAACGAAAATGTAATCAATGGCCGAAGACAGTTAAGTAATTTTTAAATATAATTTATACAGCAAACAAGTCAGGATTGATGAAAAATTTCAAACGAGTCTTTACGAAATATTAGATTACAAAAAAATAAGAAAATCAGATCTCGTTAGCAGAGAGGTCTACTTAACTAATGACAGGCAAAAGGGAGCGAATAAACAAATGTCAAATACAGCCTCGCCTCGTTTCGAAACCACTTCAATAATATCCGAGCCCGCTCACTTTGCAGGATCCGGTTGGGAACTGCCTATCGAGTCCTGCTGCCAAGGACGGACTAGGACATGTGCCGCCACCTGTGTCGCTGAGGTGGGAACATCGTCAGCGAGGGGGAAATGATCAGCTTGCCACACAAAGGGAGGATGTGTGAACCCACTAGATCATGAAACAGCTCTTGGGATAGTCGCCGTTCCCGAGGAGTATTAGAAATTACAATGACCTTATTTCGTCTTCCGAAATGTTTTTTTCAAAAACAACATTTTACAAATTAAAAATAAAAACACAGGTAAGCCATTTTTATGAACAAGGCGAGATTAATAATCTATATTAATAAAAACGTAAATGTTCTTTAGTTCAATTTCCGAAACTTCTTCACCGATTGCTTTGAAATATTGACATAATGGTTCTATCGGATTCAGAAGTATTTTTTTATAAATAAGCTAAGTTGGAGACAATTCAATAATTACGAGTTCGCGTCTCGGTGCCCGTGGTGTCTTTTACCTTTGGCATTGATCCCCCGCCCTCATCCCCTAAAAGGTGATGTAGAGGTAACAAAAAAAAAAACGAAAATACATAAGGCCCAATTGCCGGACCAGTTCTCCCCACCAGTACCAGTAGATTACGCACTGATACTTGAACAAAATATCCATTAAAACCGTCAAAGATAGTAACAATAACTGCTGATAGAACAGAAAAAAAAACGTTTTAAAAGCACACCACACAAAAAAAAAAAAAAAAAAAAAATGAAAAAGCAAGAGAAACTATGAATCCCGGTTAGTGTAGTTCGATACACAAGAATAAATCGAAGTGTGGATCTTCTGCAAAGTTACATAGAAAGGGATTGCTCCCTATATAATCAAAGATTTATAGACAGCTGATAAAGAGAGAGATTTGCAACAAATATTCCTATATTTAAAAGAAGAGTAATTAATCAAGTTGGTCAATTAAAACTATGATGCTTTAACTTGTCTTAAAACAACTTGATAACGAATATTATTGTAAAAATATCAAAGTCTGAGATTGGCACATGATCCGTTTTTACAGACAAAGGTACATATCACAAGCCCTACTTGTTTCCAAATAGAAGATTTCTTTTTATTAATAAGGATGATTTTTTTTTTTAAATTATTTTATAAATCTTACATTAGATAGTAAAAAAATATAGGTTTAGATTTTGTTATCATAAGTCTTTTGAAATGACAAAAAACCTTGAATTACTTCTAACCAGTATCGATCTCCAGATATTTATACTGATGATAAACACAACACATGGTATACAATATTGAAGAGGAATGATGGACCTCTAAACAATCATTTACATACAAAGAGGGGAGCAGAGGAGAGGAGAGGAGAGAGAAGGGAGTTGCGAAAGAGGTGCTCGTGTCCTCCTCAGAGGACCGGTGGCCGCCTTGCGTCACTCAACGTCCGATTTGAGAAATAAAAATGAGACCAGTTGGGTCACTTTTTTCACCCGCTGTGGCCAGCGCTTTGGTACCCAAAACAGGACCCCTGTGAGTCAGGTACCTTTTTTCCAATTAGCTTCTTTTTTTTCTTTTTTTTTTTTCTAACTAAAATACCGTTCTAACCTTTTAATTGACCGAGTTAAACTCGTTAGAAATCTCATACTTCGATATGTACTTCATTAATAGTATATATATGTTTTTTAGTAATTGTTTTCATTTAATATTTTTTTAACCACAGTTATGTTTAAAAATTTATAAACCATCAACATACAAATCAGGAGCTACTACCGTTTATTTATTTTTTTTACATACCGGATTCTGTTGTTTAAAGATCAAAATTCACCGGTTTCGAATAATGCAAGGTTATGGGTTTGCAGCCACCCATTCTCATGTTAATTGTAGTGTTGCTATCCGATACATAACATAGTTTTCTATGAGTGAGAGAGGAAGATTTTTTTTTTTTTTTTTTAAGATTATTTTAAATTATACATTTTAAGAACTTTAAATACAACTTCATTGATCTTCTAATTAGTAACTGGAATACTCCAGAAGAAGTGTAGTTTCCTGACTATTTGAAAAACTAATAAAAATTAAACGAGTTTTTAGGGATCCTATAGAATATCGGAGGGAGTATGTGCCTTTATATCGGCAGTTTAGTACAAACATTTAACAATTTTAAGTAAATTTTTGATGGAACTGAAGTTCTAAGAAAGTTTTTCGTGAATTTCTACCTTATTTATTTATTTAAAAAAAAACACAGTAAGTAAACAAAAATGACATTCACTTTTACACAGAGAAAATTAATCAAAATTCTTACGGTCAATCTATTTGAAATCACCCAGATCAAGTTCTCGACATTTTTCATTTTTATCATTTTTTTACGAGTTCCATGTCATTCCATATTAATTTGAGAGTTCAAAACCATAGTAAAAAAAAAATGAAGGCTCAGTATATATATATACAGTATTTTACTATATATATATATATTAAGAAAACGTATTACGATCGTAAAAAAATTCGAATCTTTTGTTATTAAATTCATCCTGATAGAATGAAAACTATTTACTACTTAAATGAAAATAAAAATGTAAGAATCAATAAATAGACAACAATAAATAAATAGATTTTTTTTATGTTTTACACTACCTCGCCTTACGAGTCTATACGGGATTTTCACGAGCCGGAGGATGAGGGAGGGGAATTTGAAATCCACTCCAGCACCGGGACGCGAACTCGTACTTTTTTAAAATCTTATTATTAACTTCGGTTATCTGGCTGCCGGGCAACTCGCGGTGCTGTGCACACGCGTTAGCCCGTTCGGCAACCACGCCCCTAAATAAATATATAATATAAATAGTTATCCGTTATCAAGGAATTCGATACATGAAAACGCTAGATATAATCAACTTTGATTTCAGAAATAAACATTACACATCCACATCAATGATTTTTAGAATAATGATTCTCCCCAATCACAAATACAGTTGTTAAGATGACAGCTCACTGTTTAGGCACTTACATATAGCAGTTTATGTGATAGTAGCTGTCACTGCAGAGAAAACGTATATACTTACCACACGATTTGTGCAAATGAATTCAATATTCAATTTAGGATGCTGATTTATCGTTTAAATAATGCAAATTTCCAGACATATTTGATAAGATATAACTCTAGAGCCGATTGAATCTCAGCCACCAGATTTCTGCCATAATTTCTTATAAAATGTTATAACATATACAATTTCCATCATTTTCTTTCATCCTTTTATAATATTCAAATTCAAAACTCGCGGAAAATGACTTTTGAACGTTTTTAAAAATTAAGATTCATAAAAAGGAGAAGATTTCCAAGATTGAAATTTTGCCAGCATAAAGTACAGTAATACCTTTGAAAAAAAAAAATTAGTTGAGATTTTTCTTTATTACATTTCTTTCTTTTTATGTCATGTATTGTTGTTCAAGAATGTAGAGAATATACTCTATTTTAATGCAGTTTTTATTTTCGTTTGATATCTACAAAATTACCAGAGTTACAGACATTTTCCCAAAAAATGTTTTTAGTCAAAAAGCAAATTCAAAATAGCCGCAGAGAAAAACTGTGATCCTTAATTTTTTTTCAACTATGGTTTTTAACTCTCAAATAAATATGGAATAACTATTAAAAAAATATAAAAGTCGAACAAAAATAATTCAAATTGGGTGATTTCAAATGGATTGACCCCTTAGTGATTTAAGCGAATCGAATTTATTCTTAGAGAACCGTACTCTCCACTTTTGTTTTTCTTTCTGAAATAAATAAAGTCGATGTAAATATTTCGCTAGGCTTCAATAATGGGACAGTGTTAAATCGATGGATCGATACGAGACGAATTGAGATTTCAAGATTTTGATGCGAGTAAGAAGACCAAAACAGCAAGATTACGTTTTAAGCCCCAAAAATCATTCTTCATCTTATGACACGTTGCATTATTTTACTTTCTTACTTATTTGTCTTTTGATCACTGTCCAATGGGACGTGCTGTACGAATTATTCACACGTTCCAACTAGTGGATTAGCATACCAGAGGAACTAAAAATTGTACCTACAATCATTACAGATTTTTTTCCTACTTTGAATCAAGAGCGTACGCAGCTTGCATATTAGAAGGGAGCAAGCCTGAATTAAGGAAAATCTCAGGTAGATAAATGATTCCTTCCATATTATACTAAGTAGTTTATAGTTATTATTATTTATAAATAATTTAATTGTGGCTTGATCTTACTTTTTCAAGTTTATAAATATAAATATAAATTTATAAATATTTTTATAAGAAACACAATATACAAGTAGAACAATTTTTAAAAATTACTTTCCTTGGGTATTCGACAAATCTTTTTCTAACCTCTACTTTCAAATCATTGAGGGAGGGAGCCTGCCCATCTCTCCGTACGCCCATGATTAGAATTTAACGTCATCTGTCGCATCGTGTTAAACAACTGGCGCCTACTAGTTTAAATTTAAACTATGAATTTATTCCCCACAGGGCAGGGGGGTTTCCGTGCTAAGTTGCACGGCTTTGGAAAGAACATCGATCCCCTATGCCTCAGTTGCGGAGTTCCGGAGACAGCTGATCATATTATTGTGGACTGCATCGTCTTTGAGGCTCTTAGGACTAAACGTCTGAGAGAAACTGGACTCTACGTCCTCTCTGAGAACGATTTCCCTCAGTTGGTGACCGAGGAGAACTACCCATTCTTCAAAAACTTTATTTACGGGTGGAAAACCGCAATTGGCTCTGATCATTTTCATATTCCAGAAAGAGGACCACTTGCTGGACGGCCGCCGAACAGAGGAGGTGAAGAAGAAGAAGATGACGCCGATTTAACATGACCGCAAGAAGTTAATTGGCAACATTTGTCCAAGGCCAAGGAAGGGAGAATAAATAAATAAAAATGTAAACATAAAATGACATTGAGTATAAAAAAACATTGAGTATAAAATGACAGTCCGTAGGAATGAAGAAAAAAACTTTAAAGTTTTTCCAGTTATACTGCGAGAGCAAAAATTTATGGAAGATATTGAACAGATAATATCGGAATGGCGAGGCGAGGAGTGCACCTATGCAAACAATTTTGGACGAGTTAAATATACCTAACTTCACCATTAAAGACGTACCCAAGAAAATAAAAACTTTGCACCCTACATATCATTTGGAGTTGTCCAAAATACAATAGAAATAGAAGTAGTGGCGGAGACACCGACTTTATATATAAGCAGGTATGCCCACTGTGATCTCCGAGCTGCCGTGGACAGACAAAGGACTCGTCGTGCTCCTGGTTTAGACTCGATTGGTGCGGATATCTGAAGAATAGTAACCTCTATAAAGAAGATACCCCGTTGGAAGTATTCAATGACTGCCTAGATGGGGGATAGTTTCCAAGAAGCTCAAAAATTTCTGACATCAGGCTCCTTTACAAAGGAGGAGGCAAAAGGACAAGCAATTATCCAAGTCTTATAGACCTATATATCTTCTCCCTGTTATGAGCAAAGTGTTTGAGAACCTACTGATGACGAGTCTATGACCAGTGTTCTCAAGAGCTAGCCATCCACGGCAGTAGGGATCCACTAAAGGCAGTATAACAGCAGATGCCCTCCTGAGAGTGCGAAGTGACGTCGAAGAGAAGGCAGAAAAGTATGTTATGCTTCTTCTGTTCAACATTTCCTCCGCCTTCGATAGTGTTTGGTGTGCGAGCGTACCAGCTGTTGCAGAAGTATGAGGCTCCAAGCAACTTAAACGAGCTATCTTCAGGACCTAAGTTAAAAAGATACGGAGTAAAATCTTTGAAGTAGAAGAATATATGGGAAGAGGTTGTGCCCAGGGTTCTGTTCTAGGTCCTGCTCTGTGGAAATTAGTCTTCGACGATTAATTGAAAGTATTGGAAGAGAAGCATTTCTCCGCCACAGCTTACGCAGATGATCTGGCCGTTGTGGTGGTATCGAATAGCAGAATCAGACTGAAAAAAGAAGCTGAAGGGACCGCTAACTTAATAACAGAGTGGTGCGAGGGAAAGAAATTGAGGATGGCCGCCATCAAGACTCAGGCCTTGGCATAGTCCTCTTGGGGGGCACGGCCGACAGAGCGGTTAGATAGAGCCTACCTCAGCAATAGGATTGGAAAACAGTTCAACGTCAAACCTCATACAAAAATTACTTTTCTTGGATTTTCGATAAATCTTTTTATAATCCCTTCTTTCAAATCCCTTAGGATGGAGGAGGAAGCAACGGACACCCTCTGTCCTCCCATGCGTATGCCCATGATTTGAATGTAACATCGTCTGTCGAATCGTGTTAAACAACTGGCGCCAACTAGTATAAATTTAAACATTATGTTGAGTATAAAATGACAGTCCATTGGAATGAAGAAAAAACTTTAAAGTTTGTCCAGTTATACTGCGAGAGCGAAAATTTATGGAAGATATTGAACCGAAAATATCGGAA